TACACAAGACATCTGGAGTCTGTGACAGACCCATCTGGCCCCTATTTCTAAGCCCTCCTGGATGCTGCGGGCTGGAATGGAATTATTTCCATGACATGAGATGTGCCCCTGCAGCAGGGCTCCGTTTTGCTTCCCACAGGGGAGACTGAGATGAAGCATCTTTCCTCCAGATCCCAAGAATGGAGGTGTTACCTGTGCAGTACCAGGGAAGAGAGCTCTCTTGCTCCCCAGAGCTTCCTTGTGCTCAAAGATAGAAACATCCTGCATCCCTGCTGAGCCAGTATGCCCCACGATCGCATCTGTCCAGTGATCCGGTGGTCAGAGAAAGTGGTGTGGGTGTAGCGTAAGGACTTTGGGAGCTCCACATTGCATCTTGTGGTCACAGGACTTGTCCAGTCTCTTGATTTACCACTTGCAGCCCCCCTTCTACCCCTCTCCTTTTTCTCCTCTGTCGCAGAAAAAACAGCTCTGATTGGAATCAGGATCCCAAAGTCAGGCAGGAGTTTGAGGGCCATTGTGCAGGGGTAGGAGGTGCTGTTCCTGTTAGGTGTGTGTGCAAATTGTATCCAGAGAGGAGTCTTTCTCTGTGTTCTCTCTGTCTCTTCAAGAGCCTTCCCACAGTGCTTGGGGACTGCAGCTTCTCACCAGAGGTAACAAGGATTTAGGCTTAATTATTTGTTAAGGATTAACATGCAAGGGCATGTGCTAATGTGCACAGCTTGCTCTCCCATAAATCTGCTCTCTGTTTCAGTGATCTTTGAGGTCTGTGATCAGCTGGAGCAGTTGGCTTATACACTGTTCAGGTGTCTTTCCTCCATTTGCAAATCTAGCCACATTTCAAGGGATTGAAAATGCAATGAATCCCATCAAATATAATTTTACTTCATATTTCTGGAGGCTGTGATGTTGCCCAGTTCCCTCCATCTGCCAGACCTCAGGTCAAACCTTGGCATGCTTGAACACTTGGCATTGATCTCTTCCAGACACCTTCCATGCTGCTGTGTTGTCTCTGGAGATGCCAAGCTCTCATGAGGGCTGTGTGTTCTCAGAAAACGGGTGCAAACTGTCTCTGTTCACCATTCCCTCCCCAGCAAATGTGACTGTTAATACTTCAGATGTGGGTTGAAGTCTAGGACCACCTCTGTATTCGAGGTCTGTGGAAACCCAGGAAGACTAGAGTACATATAAAGCTATTTGGGGTGAGACCAATTGGATCAATTCTTTGTACCTTCTACAGGACTGAGTTGTATCAAAATTAAATCCGTGCTAATAGTCAGGTTGGTGGCAGACAGTACCAAGAGGAAATACGCTTTCAGTAGTCAAGATGCAGCACTCTCGTGGATGGTAAGTCCAAAGGCAATTGGATTGGTTGGGGGACACCCTTCTTCCATGTGTTGCCAATGATGAAGCATCACCAGGGAAGAACAACACATTGGCAGGTGCAGCTCCCAGCGATTGTGACCTCTGAAGGCTAAGACAGCACCTACAGCTTTCCACAAGTGGTAAAAAGACAAGGCCAGACCTTTGAGTAGTAAGAGAAGAGTCAATGCTCAATGAGTGTCTGGTCTTGTGTTGACCAAGGGCCCTGCCAGATGCCTTTCTGCTGGGCGGGAGCAAGCGTTCCACCAGGCCTTTCTTCCAGTGCCGCAGATCCAAATTCAGAACAACAGCAAAGGGCAGAGCTCATAACGTATTAATAGCTGCCGCCTGGGCTCAGGTCTTCCTGTCACTGACATTGGAGCCTCTGGTTTGTCTGCCAGTTCCCTGAAACCCCTTGTCACAATGCCAGGGGTGACTCCTCCCTTCTGATCTGAGCTGTGAAACAACTTGGGTGGTTGCACTTTGAACTCGAATGACAATGGGTTGTTTTTGAGAGATCCATTGAGTTCTGCCTGGAAACTAAAAGGCTTTGGAGTAGACGAGATGGCCTGCCTGGGCTGCTGGGAAAAGCATTTAATTTTAGAGCGCAACAGTCCCTGTCATTATGGACCATGTGGTTCTGAGTCTGAAACTCTTTCAGGTGTTTTTTATGCAACTCATGTTGCTGTAGTATATGGAGGCCCCTGTCAGGGGCCAGGGCCTCATTGTGCTGGGCATGAAACACCCCCAGAGCCAAATCTTCATCCCAGGAAGTCTTCAAGAGCAGGTTAGACAGATGCTTGGCTGGGATGTCTTTGCCAGGGACAATCTTTCCCTCACTGGACTAGATGATCTCATGAGCTCGCTTCCAACTCAATTGTGCTATGATCCTATGAAGTCCTTGTGCCTGCCTCAAAGAGTTTACAATCTAAGCATAAAATCAGGGACAGCAGTTGAAGGGGGCAGCACAAGGAAACCATGAGACTGGACTGGCCAGCTTGATGGGCTGTTGTCCTGGCTCACCAGTAGCCTAACACATGTTGCCCTGTTTTGTGGTCTACGTGGTAAAAAAGGATCTAAGGGAAGTGTTTGATAGTCCTGTGCAAGGAAGGTCAACCCAGCAGCTCTGTTAAAGCAGCTTGTCATCCTTCTTGTCCAAGATCTCCAAGGTTTTGTGCAATCAGTAATGCGAAGGCATCTGCATTGTCGCTTGTCGGCAAGGTTCACTCATCTTGAAACTTAGATGGTGTCCACAAGCATGTGGAATAGCTTCAGGAGATCCCTGAGCAAGGGCACGTAGTCCAGCTCTCTGCAGATAGATCTGTGCTACTTTTGCGATGAGCCCAGGACTGCTGCTTGGAAGCTCACTATGTCCACTCGCTCCTGCTCCAAGCCCAGAAAATAGGATGTGCCCCCGAGTTAGCATGGCCCAGGGTGTGCAGCAAGAAACATGCCTGAGGCAGGGAGTTGGAGAGTGCCTCTGGGCTCATGCTTACAGCTGTGCTAAACCTGTGACGCTGCCTGATTTCTTGGCTTGCTGAGGAGGCTGTGCAGACATGACCCGTAGAGACTGTGGCAGCATCATTGAATTAAAAACCTCCATGCCTCTATGGTTCTAGAGATCTTCTTATGCCAGGTTTTAGCAGGTGAATACAATACTACAACTAAGCCCTAAAATCCTGCTCAAGATTTCCTTTTGAACCTATTTACATGTTACATAAAGGATTCTGAGGTAGTATTTAGCTGAGACAAATCTATTTCTTTGCCTACCTCTATTTTGTCGATTTTTTTTGGTTATAAACTCAGGACATAAATAGTTTCTTCTCAGACTGTCCGAATGTTTTAGCTAGTAGACTCAGACTTGTTGTATAGTCTGGCAGGCATTTCAGTTCCTGGGGGTTTTAGAACACGTCCTACCATGTATACCAAGGGAATAGATACCACAGAATAACGTAGAACTGGTTTCACTGAGCTTCTGCAGCCTGTCTGAGAGGTAATTTTGTCCCCAAGTTAATTAAGGCTGATACACTGAGATCTGTCATGTGCTTCTTCTGCTCAGTGTTGTTCTCTTGGCTGAGCGGAAGAGCTGCTGTGCTGGATTGGACCAAGGGGCCATTATACTCCAACATTTTATCTTTAACAGGATCACTACTGGTTCTATAAGGGGGAGAGATGAGAAACGCTCCCCAGTCCCAGGCATTCGAGGTTGGTAGGAGGTAGGCCCTGCTGGGATCAGGGTGGTATACAGGCCTTTCACAGCCCCTAGGCTTTTTTGTTTCGCTTTTGCCTTTGGACGTTACTACCACAGCTTTGGATAATGAGAACTTCTATATACATCTATAGTTCTTTTTTTCAGCTCTTGATTTCTGATATCTTGCGACTGTGAATTACATGGGTCAATTGTGCATTGTATGAAAAGTATTTACTTATATCAGTTTTAAATTTGCTGCCTGCAATTTCATTGAATGTCTCATTCTTCTAGTATCATTAGAAAGATCCAGAATTTTCTTTCCCTTGTCTTCCTGATAGAATTTATTATTTGTATACCTTTATCACACCTCCTTTTATTTGCTCATCTCAAAACAGCATAATGTGTAATATATTTATTCATATTGAAGTTTTTACATTCTTCTTTAACTTCCATGCATCTCTAAACCCATCTATTTCTGCTGTTTCCTTTTTGAAAGAGGGGACCCACAATGAACACAGTTTCCCAAGTGAGGACAAACCATTTATTCATGCAGTGGCACTGGAATATTTTCAGTGGTATTCTCCATTATTAAATTATAATGCCAAAAAGGAACATGATGATAGTGTAGTATGAGCTCCTGTTTTTGCTTGAGCTAGAACATGTATCTTTTAGAAAAATAGCTGATCTTGATTAAAAAAATGATCAGGGATGCAGAATTAACTATGACCCTTGGCAAGCTGTTTCAATGGCTAATTACTACACTGCTAAATCATATCCTATTTCTTGTTTGACACTGTGTAGCTTCAACTTACAGCCATTGATTAGATCTTGTTATCCTTTTGATTGATTGAAGAGCCTATTATCAACATTCTTTTCCCTGTGCAGGTACTTATAGGCGTACAGTCTCCTCTTAACCTACTCTTTGATAAGATGCATAGATCAAGCTCCTGTGTGTTGCTTGTTGTAAGACATGCTTTGTTGCCCATTAATCAGTCTTGTGGCCCTTTTCTGAATCTTCTCCAATTCATCAACTTCTTTGTTGGGTTGTGGACACCAGAAATGGATGCCGTATTCCAGTAGTGGCCACGCCGATGCCAAACACAGAGGCAGTAATTTCCTCCCAGCCTCAGAGTCAGATGTTTATATAGCCGAAAAAATTGCACTGTCCCTTCTCCATATAGCTCATTGTCTGCTGTCACCTTCATGTTCTGTTCACAGTTGGTACTGAAGAGTCCCTCATCCCTGAAGTGTACCCTGTGTTCCTTGTTCCTCAATGTGTGACTTGACTTTGGCCATATTACTGTAACGCTCATGCTGTTACTTGTTCCCAGTTTACCCGCAATCCAAACTTCTCCACACCAGTGACCTGTATTCTTTACTGTTTTGTCACTCTTCCTATCTTTGCATTATCTGCAGACTTTATCTATAAAGATCTTCTGTTTTATTCTAGGGCATTGATCAAAATGCTAAATTGTATAGACCCAAAGCCAGTCCCATCTGTAAGCATCCTAGCATTTTGTCAGTTTGCTGCTGCATGTTGAGTTAGCAGCTTCATTGATTTGTCAGTAAGTACTGCCTTGCATTTGTCAATATTGAATTCAGTCTACTACCCAGTTGCCCATTCACCAGACTCTGTTAGATCTCTGAAGTTCCTCACCATCTTCCCCAGTTTTGACTGACCTAATAACTTTAAGCCATCTGCATATTTATCCACCAATGCTCCAGTTCCTTTCCTAGTTGCCAAAGATGAGGCCATTGCTAGTGTGGAACCTTATGGCTCTTTGCAGTTGTCCTTTGGGCATGGTGTTTGTCTCTTTTCTCTTGCTTAGTTTATCACGCACGGCCAAACTTTACCTCCTTTCCCCAAAATTCTTTAAATTCCTTAGAAGCCCCTTGTGAGGGATGTTTGAAAGTTCAAATCAATTATGTTGGCCCATTCTCCTTTTCCTACTCCGTTATTGATGCGTCCAAAGAGTAGATGAGAGGGATGTCATTTTCTTTTTGCAGAGGCAATGCAAGTGAGTCGTGCACCGTTTCATAGTTTCTCGGGTCAGAAGGGACCTGAGCAGATCATCGAGTCCGACCCCCTGCCATGGCAGGAAAGAGTACTGGGGCCAAATGACCCCAGCAAGGTGTACATCTAGCCTCCTCTTAAAGATCCCCAGGGTAGGAGCCAGCACCACTTCTCTCGGAAGTTGGTTCCCAATCCTAGCCGCCCTGACCCTGAAGTCGCGCCTCCTGATGTCTAGCCTAAATCTACCCTCTGCCAGCTTGTGACCATTATTCCTGGTCACTCCTGGTAGTGCTTGGGGGAACAGGGACTTCCCCAGTGTTCAGATGAGCAGTTCTGAAATGCAGCTGTTTATCACTGGCTGCATACATGCACTGTAATAAATGCAAGGCGCTCTCATGTGGGAACAGTTGGCATGGGATGGATGGATGGGAAAGACCCATTACACCTCTGCTGATGCATCTGAGGGCCAGGCCAAGGTGGTTTATGCAGGACCTTTTTGTGTATTTTTTCTGGTTGTAAATGTCTGTGAGGCCATGATTTTGTGTTAGGAATCTGTCCCTGGTGTTTTATTTATATACTGCCTTCCTTACTCTTGCCCTGTCGCATAGGGGTTGTGACATGGTGGGCTCAGTCAGTGGGCTCTTTTTCTAACAGGGGTGTTTGCAGCTTTCAGTGGTTTGGAGGCATCCCCACTTCAGTCAGAAATGCAGACCTGACTTTTCTAATCTGTTCCTATAACTTTGCCCTCCCTCCCAGCACCTATGTAGTCTTTATCAAGCACCCTGCAGTTTATTGCTACCCAGTCAGTGAAGTGGCCTGAAAATAAGTGGAGTTCTGGGTGAAGTTTTGGATACGTGACCCCCTTCCTAAACTCCTCTGAACTTTTGCAGTCTTTCCGTTTTCGGGGAGGGCAGAGCTCGGGTTTATGGGGGTTGGGGGTCAGAGCAGAGCGGGATTGGGGCAGAATGGCAGTGCTAGAACTGGGCCGGGCCTTCACCCCTTGGTCAGTCTTCAGCCCTTACAGTGGCATAAGAATACCTGGACTGCCATGTGCTGCGCCAGACCCTAGATCCATCTTGCCCAGGCTCCCGGGTCGCACAGCAGCAGACAGCGGAGTGTGCTGGATCTGACCAGGGATCATTCCCCTGCTCTTCTCTCACTTGCAGCCTCCAGCATTTAACTCTAGCTCAGTAACTGAGGGACCAGCACCAGAGACAGTGGCCTGTATTAGCATGAGAGTCATTCAGATGCTGTTTGCCCTTGTTCCCCTCCCCTCCCTGCTTAGCTTTTCCTGGACAGGCCCATTCAGAGCCCCACAGCTTCGGGTGACAGCTGGAGAGGGCAAAGTGTGAGCCCAGAGCTGATGTTTGGGAGAGAGTGAGCCCTCCTCCCTGCCCCCCTTTCCCAGAAGCAGTTGCAGGGAACGGAGTCATGTTAGACAAGTCTTTTGTCTTTTTTTGATGAGATTACTGTTGTGTTTGATAAAGGAAGCTGTGTTGATACAGCGTAATTGGATTTCTCGGGAGCATTTGACTTCATACCACATGACATTGTGGTGAAAAACCCTGGCCCTGCAGGCAGATTACAAGTCACTCGCTGACAAATCTAAACAGGAGTGGGGTGCCCGGGGACTGGTTGTTGCTCTGCCCCAGGGCAGTGTTCGATCAAGGATCTAGCAGTGTAAATCCTTCCTGGTGAACTCCGCAGATGGTACAAAGATCAATGGGGCAGGAAACAACAAGGGGAACAGGTGACTTGTACAGAAGGGTCCAAGTTGTCTGGTGAGAGAGTTGCCATCCCACAAAACCTGTTCTAACATGGCCAAATGCAAAGTAATGTATCTGTGAGCCAAGAGCGCAGGCCCTGCATACAAGATGAAGGATAATGTCTTGGGGAACAGACAAGGGCTTGAGGTCCTTCACAGATAATCGTAGAATCATAGAAAATGAGGGTGGAAGGGACCTCAGGAGGTTACACCTAGTCCATCCCCCTTCTCAAAGCAGGACCATCCCCAACTAGATCATGCCAGCCAGGGCTTTTTTTGTCAAGCTGTAAAAACCTCCAAGGATGAAGAGTCTACCACCTCTCGAGGTAACCTGTTACCTCTCCTAATGAGAGATTTCCTGTTATCCAACCTAAAGCTCCCTTGCTGCAACTGGAGCCCACTGCTCCTTGTTCTGTCATCTGTCACCACAGAGAACAGTCCAGCTCCATCTTCAGAACCACCTTTCAGGGTTGCTATCAAATCCCCCCTCAATCTTCTCTTCTCCAGACTAAATAAGCCCAAGTTCCTCAGCCTCTCCTCCCAAGTCATATGCCCCAACTCCCAAATAATTTTTGTTGCCCTATGCTGGACTCTTTCCAATGTGTCCACATCCTTTCTGTAATGGGGGGCCCAAAACTGGACACTGGACTCCAGATACAGACTCAGAAGTGCCAGACAGAGCTGAATAATTACCTCAACAGGAGTTATCAGTGGCATTTGAGGTCCCAGAGGCTGCTATGATCTCTGGTTGTGTGAGAACGGAAATGGCAAAGAGTGACAGGGATGATCGTGCTGCTGTGCGTGATGCTGGTATGGCTGGAAGAATGCCCAGACCTCTTCAAGGAGGCTGGGGAAATGGTTCAACTGGCCTGTAACAAGACCAGGCCCAGGCCCAGGGCTGGCCATGATATTTGCTGGTTGCTGCACAGTTCCTGCTCTGCTCTAACTCCATAGTTTCATAGTAGCTAGGGTTAGGAGGGACCGGA